TGCAATGTCCCATCAAATGTCCTCTAAGCAGCATGGGGTACGCTTGGCAAGGAAATTTCGATGCGTCATTCCTACTTGGTAATGGCCCTCAGCACTTGACCCCCAAGTTAATGGTATTGAGAGGTGGGGTTTGCAGGGTGCAGAGGAACACACCTGTAATCCCAGCCACTCAGGAGACTGAGGCAGGAGGATCAAAAGTATGAAACCAGCCTGGGAAACATAGCGAGACCCTGCCTCAAAATAGAGAGGGCTGGGATTGTGGCTCAGTGATAGAGTGCTCACCTAGCATGAAGGAGGCCTGGGTTCATCCTCCGCTACCCCCATCCCCCCAAAAAGAGGTGGGACCCCTGGGAAGCGATGAGGTCATAAAACTCAGCCCTCACAGATGGGTTAGTGTCCTTTTAAAAGGGCACTATGGGGAAAGGTTGTCTGTCCCTCTCTTTGGACACTTGAGGATATAGGGGTCATCTTTCCAGGGGACAATGCAGCTAGGCACCATGCTGAAGGCAGGTAGGAATCCTGGACCAGACATCAAATCTGCCCAAGCTTTCACCTTGGATTTCCCAGCCTCTGGAGCTGTAAGAAGTACACTCATTCTATTATTTATTAATGACTCAGTCTGTGGCATTTTGTTATAGCAGTAAGAGTGGACCCAAAGCTCAACTTTATTATATTCCAATGGGGAGGAACTTGCAAACCCTTATGCATACCTAACAGTAGGTATTTAGAAACTGAGTAATTTCTCAAGCTCAGGGCTAAGTTACATGTTAGTGTTTCTTTTGGTAGATGATGACGCTATGAATTTGCACTTAATGCTTCCACACAAGTCATTTTCCTCTGGGAATTCCTGGTGACAGGGATTCCTGAATGTGAGATTCTTTGTGTTTTTGGAAATGGAACCTGTGTCTACAATTTCTCCAGGAGGTTGGAGGGGAAGCCCCTGAGCAAAAGTCCTTGGACAAGAGGATGCCAGATGCCCCAGGACAAAGGGTGGTGGGAGAGGACTGCAGAGAGGGAGGTGGGGCTCATTCTTCCAAAAAAAAAGGTACCAATATTCTAGTCCTCAGCACCTCCAAATCCACATATCATCTTATCTGGAAGCAGGGTCACTTAAGTTCTAATTAGTTAAGAAGAGGTCAAGCTGGAGTGGAGCAGGCTCCTAATCCAATCTAACTGCATTCTTGTAAGAAAACAGTTGGGGTACAGCTCAGAGGTAGAGCACTTGCCCAATGTGCATGAGCCCCTGGGTTACACACTTACTTACACACACACACACACACACACACACACACACACACACACATAGCTCTGTGAAATGAAAAGGAAAACACAGCTACTTGGGGGAGAAAGCCGTATGCCAGAGCAGAGATGGACGGATACAGCCCCAAGCCATCGAATGGCGGAGA